TAGTCCGTGTTCTGTGAACTTGATGTTTGTGTGGCCGCGAATTCGAATCGATTGTTTGACAGACATGTTGCCCCAACTTGTTGTTTTTCGCTCAAGCTTGCTACCCCGCGGTTGGATGGACCGCGCACTGACGCCCTTCGTGGTGGGGGCTTCGGTGAGCACCTGGGCCTGGTGGAGAGGCTTTTTCGGAAGCCAGCTGGGAGAGACTCTTGCCCAGGCTGTGGTTTCTAGAGGAGCTGGGCTGGTGTTTCCTTCTTTGTCCACCGGGTCTGGTGATCCTTTTGGGGCTTTGGTTCAGTTGAGTGGTGTTATAGTGCTACTGCACCTTTGGCCTGAGCTCAACCAATTGGGTCGCATCGTACTGCGCTCGCTGATCGCATTGGGTTGGGGATTGCTTGCACTGGTCGAGCTTGTTTCGCTGGCTATCCAGTGGCTTGTGCGTCAGTGTTTTTGGTTGCTGGGCAAGGCCAGTGAACTTCAAGAACAGGAAGCTTTCTTTACCTTGAGTGGTATGGCCTTGGCTGCTGGTCCACCTGTTCCCATAGGTTCCTTCGTGCTGATTAGCCGGCCGCCGGAATGGGACGAGGTGATGATTGGGGCATTTACGGACACTCACAGTCATGCCATTTGCAAGACTACCAATGCGGACGGAGACGCATGGATCTGGGTTTTGATCAGGGTGGATGGATTGAATATGAGGCTCCCTACTTTGGTGGCCCATGGGGAGCGACGTGCGCCGGGGGGCATAGTGGATGGGGATGTGAACTGGATTTGTACACCCCCAGCTGGCAATACTCAATGGCGCCCTGGGGCAGCAGAGATTCCCAATATTGCAGCGGAAGCCAACCTGATTTTAGCTCAGTACAATGCTTCGGGGAGTGGCTGGACCCAGAACATTCCTGGAACGTCAGGGCCCTTGGTCGAGATAGCCCATGTGGGGGGGTGGAGTGCCTGGTCCTCTGGCCGCCGGCGGAGGGGCTGCGGCAGCGGCGCCGCCCGCGGGTGTCGGTCTGGGGCTGGGTGGCGAAAGTCCTTCAGGTGCAACAGGCCAGGACTTACAGGCCTTGGAAGCAGCGGTCCGAGATTTGCAGAGATTGGCACTGAGTCCAGGGGGAAAGTCACAGGTGACCAAGAAGAGCAAGAAGAAGGACCGGAAGCATGCCAAGAAGAGTTCAAAGAAGAAGAAGAGAAAGAAGACCAGGAAGCACTCAGGCAGCAGTTCGGATTCCAGCAGTTCGACAAGTTCGAGCACCTCCCGCTCCAGAAGCTCACGGAGTTCGTCGGACGACAAGAAGAGCAAGCCGCTGCGCTGGAGAGAGCATGGGAAGGACAAGTCGGTGTCGTATGCAGATCTGACCCATGTCGATGCCCTCAAGCTCAAGCGCAAAGGCGATTTGTTGGCGTTTGCCAGCAAGCATCCAGGGGCCTTGACTGCTCATTTTCTGGCAGGTGTCTACAGTCGCCTCAGCAAGGGTTCATTGACCAGGACAGGGCAACTTCGGGATGTGAGTGTGACTTCATGGGCCCACCAATTCTCGGGCCTGACAGAAGTCCGAGACCTCAAGGAGGTTGTCACCCTGGCCGAGATCCTGGACTCAGTGAATCGCAAGGAGATCTCTCGAGCCTTGGATATCATTTGCCAGCGAATCATCGCCATCCAATCGGCGAAGCAGAAGGGAGGCTCTTGGGAAAAAGCGGAGGCGGTGGAATTGATCGACACCAGAAAGTCGCTAGCCAGCTCAGGGATGCTGGCGTTGACGAATTCCTGAGCAGCCGACTGCGCAAGGCCTGGTTCAGACGGGGTGGACGATTGGGTTCTCAGATGCCTTTTGATGTTTACTACCTCCAGATGGCGGGGGCATTGAGTGATGCCCTCAAGGGTGGTTGTGATCCGCTTGGTTTCTGTGATCTTTTTCGTAGCATGCTGTGGAACAAGGGCCGTAGCAAGTGCATGAATGAATTCAACAAGCTGCAGCCATCAGATGGTCGGGTGAAAGGTTTCTCTCCCTCCAATGTTTTTCCTTTGCCGCCGTTGCCAGCTGGGTACACTTTGAAGGGTTCAGTTGGTGGTGACCGAGGGGAGGCCATTCGGAGTGGTGGTGACTTAGTTCTTCTGGCCTTGAACTGGCTGCATGGGGGCCGTGGCGATCTTATTCCGAACATTGTCACGGCTGCTCACCAACGTGTTTTTTCCAGGGTGGAGGAGACATTGAAGGCTCTGGTGATGACAGATGAGCCTACGATGGGGCCGCAGGGGCTCGATCATTTCATGAGACAGTCACAGCTCTACACCGGTTCAGGTGTGGTGCTTGCCCTGGGTGTGAAGGGTGGGGTGCCAGACAAGGCAGCTGATGTGGATTTGGCTGGTCACCTTGAGGAGCACTTCCCTTGGATGGCTAAGCAGGTGCTCAATCCTTCGTGCCTGCTTCTGCCGCCAAAGCAAAGGCCCAAGCGTGTCAAGAGAGGATTCACTTGGACTGCGCCCTCATACCCGGAGCTGGTTAAGAAGAACGTCAAGGCTGGGCTTCAAAAACTCAAACATCCCAGGCAGGTTGCTCGTTTGGGGGACAAGATGGTTTTGGCTGGGGCTTTTGCGGTGGTTAAGGACGACCGTGAGGATCGTGTAATAACAGACCCTGCAGTGAATCAGCTCTTGGACCCAGAAGCATTACCACGACCCAGATTTGCATATATTCCTGCATTGAGATCAGTCACAGTTCCTCGCACAGGGTTGGTGGCCGTCACAAAAAGGGATGCGAGACACTACTTCCACCGCTTGCGAATAGGCCGGAGATGGAGCAGATGGCTATGTTCACCTCCAGTTGATCTTCCTTGCAGGCAGGGGGGAAAGAGGCTAATGTATCCCGCTGCTCAATCAGCTCCCATGGGCTTCGGTCCTTCAGCTGGTTGGGCCCAGGGGCTCACTGACGTTGTTGCCAAAGATGCTGACTTACCTGAGCACTGCCGTTTGCATCCAGACATGATCATTCCTGCGGAACTACCTATCTGGGGGTCGATCATAGATGACATTTGGGGCATGGACCATCTACATGACCAATCTGCCACAGGCATGGGCCCGGAGTGGCTTAGCCGAGCAGAGGATGCATGGTGCCTCAGGGGAGTTGAGCCAAACAGTAAGAAGACGGTGAACTTGGGCTTAGGTCAAGAGGTGCAGGGCTACTATGTTCATCCCACTGATCATTGGGTGGGGCTGGCCATGGAGAAGCGTCGAGCATTGTATCAGGCTTCCATGACAGCGCTCATGCGACCAAAGATTGTGGCCGGGGTGGCAGATCGCTTGATTGGCAAACATAGTTTCCTCCATTCTTGCCGGCCTGTGTTGAGGTCGATTTTTCAAGCAGTTTATCCTTGGTTGACGGCTATTCGATGCGAGAGGCGAGCATGGGTGAGTTGGCCAGCGGAAGTCTGGATTGAATTTTGTGTCTCAACATTGCTCATACCATATGCCCAGTTCTCTATGTCAAGCCCTTGGAGCCAGAGAGTTGAGTGCACGGACGCATCCATGACAGGCCTGGGGCGAGCTTTTGGCATAGCGCCGGTGTCAGTGGTGCAGGCCATGGCCCGTTTCAGCGATCATACAAAGGTTTACACGAACCTGAAGCTACCGTGGAGCATAGGACTTACAGAGGAGCACAAATGTCCAATGCGGAAAGTTAGACTTCCAAGGGAGCGCATTCGTTGGCGGTTCATTGGCACTCCCTGGAGATGTACACACATAACCTTGGGGGAGGCTGATGCCATTGCGTGGGCAGCTGAAGATCGCTTCAGGCGTCCAGGGGATGATGGGGCGCGCTTCGTTCACCCAATCGACTCTGCAGCATGCGCTGGCTGTTTTACGAAGGGCCGCTCCAGTTCACATCAGCTAAACATACGTTGTCGGCGTGTGGCTTCAATCAACTTAGCAGGTGGTCATGAGGTATGGTATCCATGGCTACCTAGCAAAGACAATCCTGCAGACGAACCATCTCGGCGCTTCGAGCCAGTGGGGCCGGAGCCCACCGCGTGCAAGGAGGATGCGCCTTCGAGTACGCCACCTTTTGACTTGAGAGAGCTCGGGCTGTGGAGGGAAGATGCAGTGTTTTTCATCCACTTCTGCTCGGGGCCTCGTCGAAAGGGTGACCTGTTGGATGCGGTTGAAGTGTTGTGCACTGACAATGGTGTCGATATCCAGTGTTTAGCTATTGACCCTCTAGCAGAAGTTGGGTGGAAGTTCACTGGGTACAGGGCTGATTTGCTGCGACATGAATGGTATACAAAGATCATGCAAATCATTCGAAGTGGCAGAGTTGTGGGGGGATTTGGTTCCCCCCCCATGCAGCACCATCTCAGCCGCCAGACACGTGCCTATGAAGGGCCGGAGGCCAACAGGAAAGCTGGCAGGACCTAGGCCCGTGAGGTCCCGCAAAAATCCCTGGGAGCCGCTGGCCTATTGCAGCAGTCGCGAGCAGTTGGCGGTAGCCGTAGGTAGTGCATTGTTTTTGGTCACTTTGGGGCTGTTGGGTGAGATTGCATTGGACGGGGGTTGGATAGGCTTGGAGCACCCTGCTGACAGGGGACATGAACCGTACCCTTCTTTCTTTGCTACCCCAGAGGTCAAGGATTTTATGGCCATGTTCAAGCTGTTTTACACCCATTTGGACCAGTGCATGTATGGAGCCATCTCACGGAAGCCGACGGGACTTTTGCAGCCGCAGGGTTGTCGCTCGTTGAGTCTTGCGTGCAACCACCATGTATCCCACAAACAGCTGCTTGGGCTTGACGAGCACGGGCAGTTCCGGACGACTCCAGCAGCGCAATACCCACCGGGTTTTTGTTTTGCAGTTGCCCAGACGTTAGTGGATCGGTTGGTGGTGGCAAGAGCTCATCATTATTTAAAGCCCTTCGTGCCTAAAGCTTCAAAAGAGTCGTTTCCAGATCCATGGGGCCATTCCTGCCATGGAAGCTATCGGTGGGTTGAGCCGTGTCCAGGCTTTCTTACTGGGGTCCTTGCGAGATGCGACTCTGAAAAAGTACGCATTGGCACTCGAGCGCCTCAACAATGAACTGCGGCGCCATGACAGGCATTGGGCTAACATGTCAGAAGAGGAGCAGGACCTTTTTCTAGCTGAGTGGCTGGTTGATGGGTGCGAATCCGGGGCATCAAAGACTGAGTATGGCTGGGCCCTTTCAGCTGTCCAAAAGCTTTTCCCACGGATGCGCGTGCGAACTGCGTGGAAAGTGTTTGATGCCTGGTCACAATTTGCCCCAGTCCGGCAGGCGCCGGCGGCACCTCCTGAGTTTCTTCATGCACTTGTGAGCATTGCAATGTTGCTGAATCGTTTACCGCTTGCAGCTTTAATTGTGGTGTGTTATGCTGGGCTACTACGGGTACGTGAGGCTTTGCAACTCACGTATGCTGATCTAATTTTGGGGGTTGATGAGATAGTTCTGTGCCTCGGGCATACCAAGAGGGGCACTGAGCAGAAGGTCCTGCTTCGCAACTCTACAGTGGTCCAATTCCTGTTGCAGTACATCTCTTATAGTCGGAAGCATGATTCAGACCTGGTCTTCAACATAGGCTACTCTACGGCTCTCAGGTGGGTTAAACGTCTTTCATGGCTCCTGGGAGGAGACGAGTGTGTGGTTACCACACACACTTTTCGCCGGTCCGGAGCTTCTGAACTGGCACGCCAAGGCACTCCCATGGCTGACATCCTAGTCTATGGCAGGTGGCAATCTGATCGTGCGGCTCGTGAGTATGTCAGGCAAGGGGAAGTCGCAATTCATAGAGCCAGACAGGCCATGAATGCTGATCTGAGGCGGCGTGTTCGCAACTGGGCTTCACTGGTATCTCAGACTTGGGCGTGCCACAGACGTGTACATGTTCTAGGTGAGATTTCCGTCAAAGTTGACAGGTTGACCGGTCCGGTTTTCAACGCGTTTGAGCAATCTATTTTTCTTGCATTTCACTTGCCAGTTTAGTGGAAGAGTGGGAAGAGAGGAGCAAGCGCGCTTGATGTTGCACTGTGATTGGATGAAGCCATTCACGTGCACTGTCTTCGATGCTCAGTACAGGTGAGCATACATACAGCTCAGAGGGAAAACCAGTTCTTTCCGCTGCATTCAGTGCCTGGGAAGGTGTCATGAGATGATAGAAGTAGAGACAGCCTCACAA